ACGTACTATATATTGGTTTTGTTTTTTGAAGCTAGATGGCCGACCCGAGAAACATGGATGAGGAGGAGTTGATGATGAATTTGATCAACACTGGCACTCAAGTTGCCGGCGATGATGGTGCTAAAAATAACATGCAAGTGGATGCAGATGATGGGAGTCAGTACTTAGCTCTTGAACAAAATGAGCAACAACATATTGGCCAAGTATATATTTTTTATTATTAGCTATATATATTATCATGTCTTATGTGTGCTCATGACATTAAAAATAATGTTTATGTTTTGTAGCCCTCTGGATCGACATCAACAACTACAACGAAGAGTAAAAATGTTCGAGGTCCCAAAAAGCCATTGGAGGGCCGCTTCATCATCTCGGAGTTCAATGTGGATACAGGCGAACCGAGGGGGCCAAATAAAATGAAATTTGTGCACCATTGTGGTTACCTTGTACGGGACCGACTCCCGATCAGCACCCACAAATGGAAGAAGAAGACCAATGCTCCTCATATCAGTTTTGTCTCCGATCGTGACAAGACGTTAATTTGGAAAGATGTCTTGGTACATTTCACACTCGAAATAGATGGTTATGATGATATAATAGATGGTGATGAATTGAAGGAGCGAGTTAGGGATTAGGCAATGAAGAAGATGGCCACCCAGTTTCAGACTTGGAAGAAACACCTATACACGACATATGTCAAGAAGAACATAGCACCAGATTTCACTGTCCCAAGCCCGATCTCAAAGCAGAGGCCCTATTGGGATGAGTTTGTACAGTACAAGACGTCGGAAGAGGGTGTGAATCGGGTGATAAAGAACCAACGTAATGCCCAATAGAAGACATACCACCATAACTTGGGATCAGGTGGCTACCCGACTGCCATTAAGAAGTGGAACAAAATGAAAGCAGACCTTCTTGCCAAGGGTATCACACCAGAATCACTCGAGTGGGGAGAGCGTGTAAAGAATTGGTTTTTCGCTCATGGGGGAACACTGGACCAGGAGACAGGGAAGTGCGTTTATGGCGCAAGACTGCAAGAAGCAGCAGAAAGATTGTTTTATGCTCAGAGAGCTATTGCTAGTGGTGCGTTCAGGCCCAACAGAGAGAAGGATGAACTGACATACGCCATCGGGACTATTGAACACGGTGGTTGAACTAGAGGCAAAGAAAGTGTCTCGTGGGAGCATGGATTCCCTCAGGACAGACCTTCCTACAGAAGCCGCTAGAGAAAGAAGGAAGAAGAGGCACAGCGGCTCCAGAGGTTGGAGGAAGCGGTGCGTGAAGCACAGGAGCGGGAAAAAAACCTTGAAGCGAGAATGCAGGAGGAAATCAGAAGGCAAGTGCAAATAGTAGTGAGTGCAAGCAAGCGAGCATCGAGCCAGAATCAACATTAGCCAATCTATTCAGGTTGAAAAGGTTAAGCTTCCACGGAGATACCAAATCAAGGGGACACAGGACTGCGCTTCCCTGTGGATGATGTCACTGAACCTTGTACATCATGTGAGCTACACATTCCGAAGGGGAATTCCACAATCAAGGTGGCTATCGGTCTTGTTAATCCTATCGACCGAACCAAGACACCAAGGATTCATGGGAATATAATCCAAGATGCTACCATCTCGGTAGATAAAGCTAAAAAAGGTTTTAGTGATTTGCCTCTTGACATTCCTAGAGGTGATGGCGAGAAGACTCTAGAAGAAGCAGAGAAGACATTCATTCTATGGCGCAAGCGCTACATGATCATTCCCGGGATGTCGCCTCCACCTCCTCCTGAACTACCTCACCATAGGTGCGGATGAAAACACTACATCATTAATTTATATTGGCTTAAATAATTAACAATCTGCTCATAATAATATGTCATTCCCTTTTTTTTGTAGCAGATCCTCCCCCAACCTAAATCCAATTGTTCAATCGCCAGATCATCATAGTGCTCTGTACGATGACAATGTGTTGGAAGGCGAGGCTGCATCCACACCATCTCCAAGGAGGTCTCCAACGCCGCAGCCGCCACCTCCAAGGAGGTCTCCAACGCCGCTGCCACCACCTCCAAGGAGGTCTCCAACGCCTCCCCCGCCCCCGCCTACCAAGAAGCCAAGTACTAGCAAGAGGCCAGCCCCGCAAACGAAGAACCAGTCCCCGACGGCAAATAAAGCCACCGTGAAACCAAGGGCTATTCCTAAAATAATATCTGAAGAGAAGGAAGAAGTAACTGATGCATATAAAAAAGATATGTCCAGATTCTATGACAAACTTAAAAAGGATCAAGAAGCATGGAGAAACCCGGAGAAACTGTACTTCTTTGTAGCTCCAGATATTCTAAGAAAAAAGGTGGCTTCTTACCAGCAACAACAGCGGGAATCTCGTAAGCCGTCCAAATCAACATTAACGGACTATGACCGCACTCTTACCAAGTCAATTGAGGCGGCACAGAAAAAGAAGCGTGCAGGGAAAGGAGTTGCACAACTCGGATAACAATCGCACCAATCAGTCCCCCCGCTAGTTGTTGGTAATGAATATGGTTCGAATTTAGGATTAATGCATCAGGCAAACATACCTCCGGATGTCGATTTGGATCACCTTGGTAAATTCATTGAAGAGACTGGTCTCGACCTTTACCAAATGTTTGGTGATGGAAACATTGAGAGTGCGGCGGGGGTTGATATTTGGAAGAAAAAATTTATACTAGGCCAGAGTCTATACAACCCTCAAGCCTTAGGTGATCTGGGGACGCAAATGTACCTGCTAAACAAGTGGTACATGCAGGCGTCTACCGGTGGAGACTTGTGCGTTGGTGTCAGAATTAGAGACGAACATTGGTTCCGTGGCGATGATGTTGTGTATGTTGACTTTGCAGAATTTCATCAACTATGGCACCTGACCTCTCTGGACAAAGTTATCATTAGCTGCTATTGCCTGTAAGTAATAATTCTTTCGATCTATTATTAAACTCATCATATGTGTGTATATGCATATAAAGTATCCTAACAAGTACTATATATATGCAGATTTAAAATGACAGAGCGCAGAAAGGAAGGCTGCAATGAAATTGGTTTTGTTGATCCCCATATAGTATTCAAAGACCTAGTTACTCCAAAGCCTAATTAGAAGTCTGAGTCAGAGAGTAACCTCTTGAACTTCTTAGTGAACCAACGCCACAAGAAGGATATACTCTTTCCCTACAACTTCAAGTGAGTGTTAATAATGTCGATCATTCTTAATGGCTCATATGTTGATTCTGGTTAATTAATGAGTGTTATGCGCTATATCCTATAAACACATGCAGCAATCACTGGATATTGATGGACATCGATCTGGTGAAAAGTCACTTGACAACAAGACTACCAAGATATGATAGATATTATCCAGAGATAATTTCGGTATCTCTAGCAACTATATATACACACAAACATGATGATTAACTATATCTGATGACGTGGCAATTTTTTTATTGGGCAGTGTTTGGAAAACCTTTATTGAGAAGCAACACATGGGAAAATGCAAAGCGCCATTGAATGTAATCCCTTTAAAAGTAAGTGCCCCTAAATCGCATCATCTTTATTAATTAAACATATAGCTTTCACCGGACCACCAGATGGATGACAAATCTTTTTCTCGTAAAGTGGTGTCTGAGGTAGGAACAGAGGAACAACTACTGTGGTTACTATGTTTGTAAGTTTATCAAGGAGGTCTCCCAAAGAATTCCTACAGAGAGACTCAAAGTATGTTAAAAATATACTATATATTCATTTAATTATTATTATTGACCGTGTTACTATGTCTTTATATATATATGTATGTACATATATTAATTTATTTTCCTTTAATTCAAACCTGTAGGCTCGATGGTTGGAGGAAAAGGTCATACGGCAAGACCAAATCAAAGCAATTCAAGAGTCTATAGCCAGATTTTTTAATGACCAGGTCATCGATTCCAAGAGTGAGTTCTACTTCGACCCAACACTGCCATGAAACCCAAGCTAGAGGATGAGAGGAAACTTGTTATATCACAACAACTGTAATGCAATCTTTTGTAATATATGCACATGAAATAATATAATGTAAAATATACATATGCATGCATGCATGTAAATTTATATATGATGCATGCATGCATATATATATATATATATATATATATTTGTATGCTTGAATTGTGTGATTTAATATGTTCATTGTGCTTGAACCCAAACATACTATACGCGCGTATAAATGTATTATTAGCAGCGTACAATATGACTTCGAAAACCTATTTTGAAAAGAAAACAAAAAAATGAAAAGAAAAGAAAAAAGAAAAAAAAACCTTTAGTCCCGGTTCGTATTACCAACCGGGACTAAAGGTGCCGGCCTCCAGTGGCGGATCCAAAGGGGGGGCTGGGGGGCTCCAGCCCCCCCTAATGTCTTGATTTCAAGCCTAATCACTGTAACAAAAGCTTGATTTCACCATTAAATCTTCATGCAAATCAACATCTCCATTGTTTTAGCCCCCCTTATCCCGCATCGTGCATCCGCCACTGCCGGCCTCGTGGTTTGTCAGGAGGCACCTTTAATTCCGGTTAGTGTTACCCACCGGGACTAAAGGTCTCCTTTTAGTCCCGGTTCCTGACCCCGGGACTAAAGGACCCCCTTTAGTCCCGGATGCTTGCTCCCGGGTGGGGAACCGAGATTAGAGGGGGTTCGCCACCGGAAGTAAAGGCCGTCTCTGTACCAGTGATAAGTACCGGACTTTTTTTTCTAATTTTATTAAATTGGTTTCCAAGTTCTTTTTTTATTATGTAGTTTGCAATTGCCCACCCGTTTGCAATATTTTGGGAAAGAAATAGGAAGCACGTGAAGGTGGACTTTGCAAACATAGCCAAGCACGTGGGAGTAACATTTTATGTTTATAATGGGGTTTATTGCAATTTATTATCCCCGCAGCAATTGGTCCCGCACGAGAGCTACGAACAAGTCTACCGGCCGCCGCCGCCACCGCCACCGCGGCCGCCGCCGTCATCGAGATGGCGTCTTCCGCATCACCGCCGGCCTCCAGGTTATGACGGCTACTGACACACTTGCTTCTCGCCTAGAGATATCCTAGTGCTTGCGTGCCTTATAAAAAACTACTAGTATTTGGTGCGTTTCCTAGATCCGGTCTCCAGCATTGCTAGAGATTGCCCTGATTGGGGGGCGTTAGGGTTCAGACTCGATTATTTCACAAATCAACCAGGAGCATGAGATGTTTGAAGAAGCACCATCCTCTTGATTGGTTAGGTTTTTGTCTCACGAATCGGTACACTTCCACCTGAATCAATGTAGCATGTAAATGTAACCCTCTTTGATAGTTTCTGTACCTTTACCCTAACTTGGTCTTGTTTCTTGCTATTATTATACTCTCGAGTTGATTTAGTATGTAACCCTATTGATTGCTTTAATACATTGACCCCTGACTTGCTGTTACTTCTTGTTGTCGTACCTAGTGGGTCGAATCCTGGCGCTGCCTCCACGGGCGCCGGCAAAAACAGGGAAGTCAACTCAGGGGAGGTTCCTTGGTTCATTGCGACTCGTGCTACCAACCACATGACCGGAGACAAGAGTCTCATCTCCAACCTGGTACCTGTAAACAACCAAGTTGTCGAAGCAGGGGAAGGCGAGGGGATGAAGGTGTGTGGCAAAGGGTCTGTGAACACAGAGAAAGTGGTCCTCCCTGACGTGTGGTATGTCGCAGGGCTTACTGCGAACGTTGTGTCTGTGGGGCAGCTAACTGAAGATCACAATCTGATTGTTCAGTTTGGTGGTGGAATGTGTCGCATCAGCAAGGAGAGTGATGGGTCTGTTCTCGGTAGAGCACCTTTGAGGCCTGATAGGAAGTATGCAGTAGACTTTCTGAAAATTGAGCTGAATTAAGGTGCGGAGCATGCATGGCGGGTATCTTCAAATGCAGAGGGTTGATAGTGATGTCGGCTACTGCTTTGCTTCATATGGTAGCGCTGAATGGAAAATGGCTAAGGTCTAGTTTTCCCCCATGGTTTTAGGATATTGTGTGCACAGTATGTGTGCATACCTTTAACTGTTACATGTTAGACTATATAAGAAGTACCGGATGAACCTGTGGCCTCTTAGGCATTTATTTTGTGCAACTTGTTCTGGTTTTGCTACCAAAGGGAAGTCCATTTTGCTAGTGATAATGTAAGCCAATGAAATCCGGTTTCAGCTGTATGTTCTGCTACTGAATTTGTGTCTGATGTGTGACTATCTGTCTGCGATCTCTTGGTGCGACAGTTGTGAATGTGTGGTATATGGTTTCGATGCACATGGTAAAGAATGTTTTGTTGATGAATTTGACGATTGGCACATACTGTATTCCAGATATATGGTGTTATTCATTTTTGGTGGGTAGAGTGGTGCTTATAACTACATACATAATTTGAGCACTCTGCTTCCAAATTTCTCACCAAACTTTCTGTTTGTCGGTATCCCCTTGCATTTGTTGCTTTAGCTGTGCTTAGAGTGTGCATATGCTGATTGGTATGACCCATCTTTTTGTTTACATAATTGAAGATACTCACCGTACTGTTAGCCTAGTGTGAGTGAGTCTAGTGCTTCTAAAAAGTTAAAAACATTTTGTCAGTTTTGAAGCGTGAACTTCCCTATGCAGGAAACAAGGCAATAGAAAATTGAGTGGCCTTCTTCTAAGACTATCTCCAACAGCCGCCGCGACCAAAAATATAAGACCCATTCCATATTTGGGTAACGCTATAGGCAAATGGTTCGATACCTATTTTTGGTCTTCTCCAACAACAGGACCAAAAAGAAGACCCTTTTCTGCAAATGGGTCTTCAGGAGAGAGGATGCTCATGTTTGAGTTATGCCTCTTCTGTAACCTAAAATGTGTCTTCCGTATAGGTACTCTGTTGGAGGCTATAGATATCATGCTGGAGACCCATTTTGGGTTTGAGTGTCCCAATGGGTCTCCCGTTGGAGACAGCCTAACCAGTGGTAGGCGACGTGCTCTTCAACAGCGAGGCGTCTGTGGTGACTTCATCAATCTCGAGATTTGCTGGTCCAACTTGGTTCTTCGGAGGTGCTCATAGAGGTAGGGTGTGCGTGCGTGCGTTCATAGGGGTTGAGTGTGCGCTCGTGTATGTGAGCATCTGTGTAAACTATGTAGGTAACCTTCTGCCTGTGAGCCTGTCAATAGTTAACTGGTAACCTGATGGTACGTCCCTGGTGCCTGTCAATAATAAACACTGGTGCCTGGGTCAGTGACCATGGAAGCGGTGGTGGTCCTCGGGCACGTCCCTGGGCTGTCTATGAACCTAGTGGAGGCAGCTCACTGAAGATCCTGATCTAATTATCGAGATTGGTTGTGGTGTGTGCCATATCAGCAAGATCAGTGATAGCCTGACGTATCCGTTTAGGTAGAGTCTATTTGACATTTGATAACATGCACTATACGAGATAGACATTCTGAATTAGGTACGTGCCTTGTTTGGCAGCATGATAGTGTCTTCAGATGCATAGAAAGATGGTACGGATGTCAGCTGCTGCTTTCCTTTTAAACAGTAGAGTAGTGTTGAATGGGAATGAGTAAGGTTCAAGATTTTTTTCCGTTAAATTCAGATTATAAACTTATATGGGGTTTAGGATATTGTATTCACAGCATCCTATATACCTTTAGCTGTTATATTTGTGAGAAGTACAGGATGAGCCTATGTATGATCTCTTAACTCAGGGCGTGTTTAGTTCCAGGAAGTTGGAATTTGGAGTACTGTAGCACGTTCGTTTTTATTTGGCAATTAGTATTCAAACATGGACTAATTAGGCTTAAAACGTTCGTCTCACAATTTCCCACCAAACTGTGTAATTAGTTTTTTTTCGTCTACATTTAATGCTCCATGCACAGGCCGCAAACATTCGATGTGACAGGTACTGTAGCACTTTTTGGGATTTTGGGGTGAAACTGAACACGCGCTCATTGCAGCTTGTCGCCAAAAAATAATAATAATAATAAAAAAAAACACTCATTGCAGCTGATTCTGGTTTTGCTACTGAATGAACGTTTTCCTGAACATTGATTATAGTCAGTGTATGTTCAGTTACAACCAGCTGCTCTTCTACTATTTGTGTGTGATGTCTATCTGCAAAGTTCGTAGTCTGACTGTTGATCAGACATTATAGTTCGTAGTCTGACTGTTGAATGCCGTCTGGGCCCAAGGCAAACCATGTTTGTTTAATGAATTTGGCTATATATTTATGGCTCCGTTCGGCTTGCTGAAATTTGGCTGAAACTGGCTGAAAAATACTGTTATGGCTAAATTGTTGTGAGAGAAAAATATTGTTCTGACTGAAAAAAGAAGCTGAACAAGCTGGATATGGGGTAAGCCGAACGGGGCCCATTGTATTCATTTATCGTTACTACTTCATCAATCCATGCTCTCGCATGGGTTAGAATCTTAGGAGACATTAACTAATAAAAACTACTTATATTAAATATTTTTTTCTTTTCACTAATATTCTAAAATAATAGCTATAATAGGTACTCTATAGTCTATATTCAATTTAATAATCTATCAATTATTGGTTTTTGTGTATTTTTCATCCATATGCATCAGTTTGTTCATTTACATAGCACCTCTGTTTATCTCCAATATACATTTAGTTGAAACATTTGTTTAAACTACGATGGATTTAACTGCAGTCCATATTTTGATGACATGGACCTATTTTTTATTCTTTTTTCCCAAAAGCTTATTGAGTGCTTAGATACAACGACTATTATTTATAATGGTGATTATAGTCTACCTATTTGATGGCTAAATGTTTTAGGCTCTTGTAATAATTTTAGGATTAATCTTTGTTTTAGCATGATATGTATTTAGTTGAAACATAAACTTAAATTATATAAACTCTTATTTATCATAAAATCTATATTTTAACTTTTAGCTTTTGATCTAGTTGATGTAATATTTTATATACGTGTTAATTTGAAATTCCAATGCTTATTGTATCGTTTATTCGAAATTTTCATTTTTCTATTTTATTGAAAGAATATTCTAGGTCCTAGGCTACCCTCCTAGTTCTTACAGCAGCATAAATAGTTGTTTCAGCATGCACCATGGCACTCAAGATGTTGAATTTATTATATTGTATTAATATTGTTTTATTATACAAATAATGCTTGAAACTAAATTACTAATATTCATATGATATAATGTTTCAATCACATCATTTAATCTTTTTTCAAGATAACGACTTACAAAATTTATTATCTTGCATATTAATTTAACTTAAAGTGAAATGTAAGTGTCATTACTATGTGGTTTGCTAAGGATATTTTTCCGGCTTGATAAGCTTATAAAATAAATATTTATCCTAACGTATACATGTTTTCTTGGTCTATGCAATGTGTAGAAAGAATGGGAATCACACCACACACCAAATGTGTTATATAGCCGTAGTCAACATATGGTACAAGGAAGGTATTACAAAGCTAAGCATGGATCCTATCCTAATATACAAATGATCCTGATGAATCCTTTCCTAATACAAATGATCCTAATGGATCCTTTCCTAATAGGCTAATACCCACCCGCAGTCGTAGCGGTAGTAGGATCACAGACACATAGGCTGGACTGAAAGTCAGTGAACAACTGTACAGGGAGACCCTTGGTCATGATATGCGCGAACTGGTGTGCCGAAGGAACGTGGAGAACGCGAATCTGTCCCAGGGCCACCTTCTTGTGAATGAAGTGGATGTCGATCTCGATATGCTTGGTGCGACAGTGGTGGACGGGGTTAGTGGTCATGTAGATGGCGCTAACATTGTCGCAGTAGACCACTGTGGCCAAGGGGACCGAGATATGAAGTTCCTGAAGAAGCTGACACACCCAGCAGCACTCGACGACGACAAGCGCGACGGCATGGTATTCGGCCTCTGTGCTGGAGCGGGAGACCGTGTCTGGCGTTTGGAGGACCAAGACACCAGATTATCACCGAGGAAGACACAGAAGCCAGAGGTGGAGCGGTAGGTGTCAGGGCAGCCCACCCAGTCAGCATTGGAGTAGGCGGTGATCTGGTCGACCGGGCCGGGCCGGTGCCCAGGTGAAGGCCAGCGGAGAGCGTGCCCTTTCATGTAGCGCAAGATGCACTTGATCAACGCCAGATATAGCTCACGTGGGTCATGCATAAACAAGTAGACCTGCTGAACAGCAAAGGCCATGTCGGGCCATGTCAGGGTGAGGTACTGGAGGGCGCCAGTGAGGGGTCGACGACAGCGGCGCCATCAGTAGCAGACAACTTGGTCCGTGCATCGGCTGGCGTGGCAGTAGGGTGGCACTCTGACATGCCAGCCCGCCAGAGGAAGTCGACGGTGTACTAGCACTGTGACAGGAATAGGCCGGAGCGATCCTGTGTCACAGTGACCCCTAGGAAGTGGTGAAGGTTGCCGAGATCCGTCATGGCAAACTCTGAGTGGAGACGTGCTAGAGTAGCACAGTGGATGAGGCCGTGAGGATGATGTCGTCGACGTAGAGGAGCAAATAGACGACGTGTTCTCCATCTTTGTACACAAAGCGAGAGAGGCGTCAGACTTGGACGCAGTGAAACCAATGGTGCGGATGTAGTTAGCGAAGCGCTGGTTCCAAACTCGGGGCGCCTGCCTGAGTCTGTACAAGGACTTCTACATAGGCAGACGTAGTCGGGAGTAGCCGGACGACTGCTGACAGTAGACCGTCTCCTCTAGGTGACCGTGGAGGAAGGCATTCTTCACATCCAGCTGATGAATGGGTCAGGAGCGCGAGGCGGTGATGCCGAGGACGGTGCAGATCGTTGCCGGCTTTACAACTAGGCTCAAGGTCTCATCGTAGTCGATGCCAACGTGTTGGGAGAAGCCACGGACGACCCAG